GTTCACATGCATAGATATCTTAAACAACAGTACTATAAAGATTCTACTTTATATTTAGTTTTTCCCTTTAAATCATGTGCATTTTTTTCATTTTGCTACTGTCTTTATTATGTTCATTTTAGTAGATGCATAATGTACAGTGTTAACTGTGTGTCCAGTGTTTAAGATGTTATTTGATTCCCACGAAACCCTACAGAGCAAGAATTGTTTTGCTCATTTCATCTTAATTACAAAAGTGAAAATGGAGGCTCAGAGAGGTTAAGTAAACTGCTCAAATTCATCCATCTACTGAGGGGGTAAGTCAGGATTCAGACCAAGGTGTGTGGACTTCAAAGTCTATGATCCTGACTTGTCAGATAGTAGAGTGAGGATACACAGTGGGACTCCAGGTCCTGTTACTTAGCCTGATACTCTGTGCAGAAACTGGTGGTTCCCTGGCTGAACATCAGCATCATCTGGGGAGCTTTGAGAGACCCTGCTGCCTCATCCTTAGAGATTCTGATGTAACATCAGGGTTTTCCAAAAATCCAAGTGTTTTAATGTCCAGCTACTGCTTTCTGTGACGACCTCACTGTAGAGACAACAGAAGAGGAGAAGCAACAATTAAATCACAACCGAAATGAATGAGAGTTATTTAGCTTCAAAAATGGCTTCGTGAGTTTTCTGTCTCCTGCCAAATTGTGGAAGTCTGTCTGTATAAGTTTAGGAGTCATTAGCATAGAGATATAAAGTGAAGCCTTGAATGTAGATGAGCGGGCTCTTGCAAAGCATGTAGCGAGGAGAGAAAAAGGCTAAGAACAGAGCCTTGGGGACTAATACTGAAGGGATGTATGGAGGAAGAGAAGAGCGCTAGGACAGGATATTTCTAGGATTTTTAAATGCTAAGTGCTACCAAGAGGCCATGTAGGAGAATGCCTGAAAACCCGTGGATTCAGCACCAAGTCCTCATGGGAACGTTTATGGCGGAACACTGGGGGAGCAGTGTGGGTGAACAAGATTTCAGTGACTGAGGCCAATGTGGGAGGGAAGGAAGCAGATACAAACTTTATAGACCTTTTTACTGAAATGCTGGCTTTAACAATGTGTCAGTATGTTTTCAGCTGTAAGCATGAGAATCCCCAAATAAAAGTGACTTACACAATAGAGACCCTCCCATTCAACACACACACGCGCGCACGCACACACACACACCACATATATAACAAGAAGCCCAGAGGTGGACGGTTCAAAGATTTAGACTCTAGTTGGCTTCTCTGGGATACTTTTGGCCACCCCTTCATGGTCATGAGATGGTAGAAGCGTCTTCAAATATTACATCCTCATGTGACAACACCTAAGGGACAGGGCTCCTCTTAAATTTTTTTTTTTTTCAACGTTTATTTATTTTTGGGACAGAGAGAGACAGAGCATGAACGGGCGAGGGGCAGAGAGAGAGGGAGACACAGAACTGGAAACAGGCTCCAGGCTCTGAGCCGTCAGCCCAGAGCCCGACACGGGGCTCGAACTCGTGGAACGCGAGATCGTGACCTGGCTGAAGTAACCGACTGCGCCGCCCAGGCGTCCCAAGGGACAGGGCTCCTCTTATACCTCTCCTTTTGTTAGGGAGGAAACCTTCCTGAAAGCCCCAAGCCGACTTGCTCTAATGACTCATCACCCTTAACACCCACATTGCCACTCCCCCAGCTATAAGGGATCTCTCAGTGAGTGAACATCTGGCTTTTTTTCCTTTATACTGGGAAGCAGGCTCTGCTTTCAAAGAAGAGGGGAGGAGAAAGATGGCTATATAGGCAACCACAGAGTTCCACAGAGAGTATGAAGGGAACATGATAGTCAGAGGAAGACATGGACTTAATGCAAGTTTGCCGCATGTTTGTGTTAACATCTTTGAAGCTAGGCATGTTTAAATGCTTTTCACAGATAAAATATAATAGTGAGACCCCCATGATTGTGAGATGCATGGAAAGTAAAACATGAGAGACGGACAGGTGTCTCTTCCATTCTAATTGGAGGGAAGGAGAAATGAAGAGGGTGGATACCCTAAATGTATTGGTTTGCTGTGGACTTGAGGGGATCACCCCTGATGGCTTCAGTTTGTTTCTTGCGAAGTGGGTGACTGAGTTCTCTGCCAAGAGTAAGGGGGACACAAGACAACACAGGAGAGAGTTGCCCAGGCAACACAGGAATTCCAGCTGATTTTAAGGGCTCAGTTGAGGTTGGCTGCCCTGAATTTAAAATTATTCTAATCAGGGGAAGTTGTGATTTTTCTGTCCCCTCCAGCTGCACCACACGCCTGGCCATGGGGGTTGAGAAGGCACAACGGCTAGGGGACTTTCTGTACAGGTGTGACAATAAATGCGACAAGGGAACTGAACGCATCATCTAAAGAGCAATTTCACTGATATCACACACAATCTGAATGGGAACAAAGTGAAAACAGGGGAGTAGATCCACTGGGAGAAAATCAAGACACCAAAGGATCGGGCATGGAAGTGGCTGAGGGACTGATGTGAACGAATGAATTGGAAGAATTGGAGGACAAGGCTTAGCAAATGGGCTGACTTATTTCAAACACGGCACCATTCTGGGTGTTGAAAACATCCAGAATGTTGCATTAGAACGAGTGGCTTACATATGATGAAGATCGAGAAATGATAAGCTATGGTATTGGAAGGGCCATCTATACGGCCTGACGCACAATTTGTAAAAATAGAAGTGGATGAAAGAAGTGATTTTCAAACTTTAATGTGCCTATGAATTCCCTGGGGATCCTGTTAAAATGCAGATTATGATTCTGTAGATCTGGGATGAGGACTGAAGCTCTGTAGTTATAACGAGTTACCAGGTGATGCCGATTTGTTGATCCGGGAACAACACTTTGAGTGGCAAAACACTGGATAAGCCCACCATTGACTTCTACACATACTCTCTTTATTAAAAAACCTTCTATCCCACTTTGCTGAAGGGGATGGACCTCAGAAAGTATGTGTTATACCTGGTCCCACTTGTTGCCCTGTTGGGGTAGAGGACCTGATGCAACTAGAAACTACCCATAATCTGAACTCAGCTGATTGAAATTTCTCATGAGATTCTAAACTTACACACTAGAGACTAAGTCTGCAAATCATTGGTGGGCAGTGGCTCTCTAAGACCTATTTTCCCCAAGTTTAGCAGCAAAACAAGCTTAGGCCATATGTCACTTGAAATTTTAGGGAGTAGTAATCAGGAAGAAGCTGGTTCTTAGGATAAAGAATGGAACACAGGCACAGAAAATTAATGAGACGAAAGAATAAAGTGCTAGAGTGAGAAGGTGATTATCTCCAACTCAACCTTCCTCCTCAAATACGCCCTACCCAAGTATGTGGCCTCTCTGGCCTGCATTGTTGACTTTCCTCCTCACACTGGCTAAATCATACTCTTCCTTGGTGTCTTGATTTAGAAAGCTCCTTAAGGAAGCTTTCTCTGCCAGCTGAAGCTGGTGGGTGGCCTCCTATGTGTGCCTATAGCACCTCTTGGTGTCCAGATCATAGCATTTATCACCATGACAACCACCATTGGGATATTTATTTGCCAAATGTCTTATATATTCTCTACGCACTTTTCTTGATAAAAACTAGTTGAAGTTAGATATTCTAGTTCCATTTATTAACATCATTTTCACTTTTTATATAAAAAGGAGCTCAAGAGAGATTACATGACTTGCCCAGGAGCACATAGTTTGTGGGTGGTGGTAATTAGGGTTTGAGAGCAGAGATGATCTACGTCAAAGCTTGTCCTCTTAGCCATCCTCTTTCCCCAGACTCTTGATCACTGCATTGCCCTGTCTGGTGGTTGGCTGGTACAGAGCAGTACTCAAAGGTATTTGTTGAATGGATGTGGCTGAATGTGAGTGAATGAAGCTATTTGTTAAGCCAATTAGCCTTCTAACAGAACTGAGTGAAGGATTGTGTAGTACTGCTGTTAAGAAGTCCTTAACAAAAATATCTTTTATGAAATCTATAACTGGTAGATCAGATGTGCACCACACCATACTCTGCTCAGCGTTGCAAATTTTCGAATTGATGGTGGTTCTTAGTCCATCCCTTGTCCTAATCCCTCGACCTAAACGTTCAAAGACCACCTGGAATCTTTGCTTGGACTCTAAATATTATATGGCTACAGCATTCCAACATGGGTTCTCCCTGCACACAGAATTGTCAGAGCTCTCTCTAATCTAGGAGCTGCAGTGTTCAGCGAAGCTAGCGTGGTTGCGTTTGTTTCCCAACACTTGTACTGCATATGACTCCAAATGCAGTGACACTATGTCGTCCACATCCAGTTAACTATGCTGTAACACCCGGGAAAAAGGTTGACACATGAAGCGTTTTCCGTGGCTGCTAACACGCTTAGTCAGCACAATCACTAGCAGGATGAGTGGGCAAGTCAAGGAAGTATCTTCCTTACAAGTATCACGTCCCAACTGTTCTTTAAACGCCACAGGATCCCTATCACAGAACAAAAAAGAGAAATACACAAACAACCCTAAACCAAATTTATCAGTGACCCCCGTTGCGTCCTAGTCGTGCAAAGACTAGGCTGGTTGTTTTTAAGATCTTTTCAGCCAAATGCAAAGCTACTTTCAGAAATGTTTTTTGCCCACGTGGATCGCGCAGACGCTAATTACTAACGGGCTAAGAAACACGCAACCAGGGAGACTGGCCGCACCTCCGGGAATAAACTGGCACCTCTAGAAATAAAGCTCCGCAGCCAATGCGGCGCCACCGCCCGTGGGATTGGTGGCCTCGGCCGTGACGTAGCCTGGGCGGGCCGAGTCGGTTTGCGACAGAGGCCGCGGGTCCCGGCCGGGGAAGCTGAGAAGAGGTATCTGCAGCGCAGTGCTCGGCCCGCGAGCTCCCTCTTCGCCAGCCCGGAGGGCTTCTTTCTTCAACGCGCAATTCGCCGGCGCTGCAGAGCCTCGGCCCCGAAACCCGGCGGGGGTGTGAACCTGAGACCAGCAGACCCCGGCGAGGCCAGGACTCCCCAGCGCGAGGGCGGCAGGGGACGCAGAGGTTTGGCCTGCGGGCGCGGGGCGGGCGCGTTTCCCGGGAGGGTGGCCAATCTGTGCAGGGCCGAGGCGGGATTTTCTCTTCCGCTGGCGCGGTCCGGGCCGACTCTCCTGCTGAGAGAGGAACCGGAGCTGCTGAAAGCGCGACGCTGTGCTGGTAGTTGCAACACTTGAGAGGGGAACCGAGTTGCCCGGCGCGGCTGCGGTCGCGACCTGAAGCTGCACCGCTGCGGGAGAGGTCCGAGGGGCGCTCGGCTCGGGCAACTTCACTTCTTCCGCCGCTCGAGAATTGGAGGGGTGGAGAGGTGCTGGGGGTTTGGAGAAGGGCTTGTAATGAATTCTCAGGACCACCGCCTCCTCGAGCGTGGAGGTATTGGTGCTCACCAGAATACTTAGAAAGGTTGGGAAACTATCGCGTAAAGTAATGGGGTGGTGAGGGGTGGGGATCGTGGGTAGCCCCGGGAGCGCGGGACCGCCGATTTGCTTTGCAAGCCGCAGCGTCCGGCGGGGTTGAGCGCCGAGATTTGGGGAAGTGGGAGCTGCCCGGGCGGGGCGTCCCGAGGAGACTCGGCCACGCGCTGTTTGTTTCCTTTCACTTCCTGCAGCGGCCGCTCGCTATGAGGAGGGGAGCGGGCCTAGGGCGGAGCGGCCTCGTCCCCCGGGCCTGAGCGCCCACCCGCTGCCGCCGCGGGACGTCCCCAACCCTCCGGGGCTTTCGGCCATGGGCGCTCGGTGAATAGGCGACGTGGGGAGTCGTGGACCTGCCACTTCGGGAGGTAATGCTGGCTCAGTTTTGAGTGGCCCGGGGAGAGCGAAGAAACCCTAAAATGGAGGACTTTACTACCAGGACGTACGGCACTAGTGGCCTGGACAACAGACCTCTGTTCGGAGAGACGTCGGCCAAGGTGAGTGCGGACCCGGATTCCAGGGTAATGGGTTTGTGTGTCTGTGTGTCTGCGCTCCCGCCCAGAGTCCTGGTTGCGGCCCCGGGAAGCACTTGTGGGTAGAAAGAGCTGTTTCTTCTATCCTGCTTCCCTCTAAAGATGTTTGTCCTGCCACTTGGCTCCTTGTTGGGGGTAGGGTTGGCCCGGAGCTCTGAAAGCAGGGTTTGGGGGGGGGGGGGGGGGGGGGGGGGGGGGGTGGAGAAAAGTTCAGGAAGTTCTGGGCTGATAGGGGTCCTTCAGGGGAGTGCAGAAGCCTCTCTCCGTGGGGGATGGAGTGCTAATCTTTGAGAGGCTTCAGGTGTGAGACCAAAGCTTTCGTAAAAAAGAACCCTGCAGAGGTGCTTCTGATTAGTATTTATCTAGAGCCATTAAGGGTTTATACTGAGGCAGCCAAGCAAAGAAAAAGAGGCTTGGAATGAGATTTTCTTTGATGGCATTCCATTCCTGGAAGGGATCAAAGAGTCTCTGGACTTAAACAAGCTATAGTATCTTGTTTTAGCCTTCTGACAAGGATAATGCCTTCTTACAAGCTTTATCATGTGATGCTCAGGGCCAGTAATTGAAGACAGAGCTCTTTTCCTGTCTCCAGCCGTAACTTTGAGTTGTTTTGGCAAGATTAGCCTGTGGTTTTTTTGTTTTTGTTTTTTTTTTCCAGCTAGAAAGTGATCTTAGTAACCTTTCACCCCTGAAAAGGACTTTCAGGCCTCTCAGAAAGGAGGGCACATGTGGAGTCCAGAGCTTCTTGGGTTTCTTAGCTTTGGCGGGGGACCTCTAACACCAAGGATTGGAAACTTGTACACCCGGGAGTGTGGGGCATAGTCCTGAATTTGGGCTGCCAGCCTGCCACAGGACAACTACTTTATTTTTTAAATTCTTTGTGGATGTCCTTGTTTTCTTAAAGTATCTTAACAACAAAATGCTTTAAGCTTGATCTCTAGGAAGATGCACCTTGTTTATTTGGGGGCTTTGCATAATCCCTGCCCACATTGCTTGTGGTTTGAGAAGCATGGTTGTAGTTTATTAGACGTACCTGTTTCTGCTACAGTTATTGAGCGTTATGTGACAGGCCCTGGGGATCCAAGGAACACAGGTGAGGGAAATATGTAAACTAATGTGATGCGTTGGATCTGTGCTATGGCGGGGCATAGAGGGGGTATGTTGGGGTACACAGGAGAAACTGGTCACTTTTGTTTGGGAAGCTTTGGCAAGATCTTGGATGGCTTCTCCATTCAGATTTTCTGATAGCCTTGGGCTTTCAGATATAAATGTCCCTAAATTGGGGTTTAACAAGAAGAGGATTTGAGTCCTGGAGAGTGGAGGCAGCAGCTTGCTGCTTGTTGGACCCAGGGCACCTGACTGTCCAGCTGTTCCAAGAGCTAAGAGGTTCACTGTCAGCCTCATGTGCCTTGGTGCACAGATTGGGGTTCTGGGTGATGTAGACTTCTGACCCCCTTTTTAAGCCCCACAGCCCCTGAATACTGAGGTGGATGATTTGGTAATGGACTTGATTTATAGAGGCACTGAGAAATACTGATGTTTTCTGACTTGCTTGGGCCTAGATAGTTAATGACTGTAAGTTTCCTATTGCCTGTGATCAAGTTGAAACCATCCAAGAACCTTTCAAAATGTTTATCTGTTGGCTTCATAATTATTTAGTCCAAGAGTATATGGGCCTGGCATTATTTAGGCAGCTTTGGGCATTTATAACAGAAGATTTGGCTACTCCGAGACAACGTTAAGAATAAGATAATTGGGGCACCTGGGTGGCTCAGTCGGTTAAGCGTCTGACTTCTGCTCAGGTCACGATCTCCCCGTTGAGAGTTCGAGCCCTGCATCAGGCTCTGTGCTGACAGCTCAGCGCCTGCAGCCTGTTTCAGATTTTCTCTCTCTCAAAAATAGATAAACATTAAAAAAAGTGTTTTTAGATAAGATATAATTCCAGATAACAGAATTGCTCCCTTTAGCCCCCTCCATGAGGCTGACAGAGTAATTGGACATAGAGAAGTTACACAGAACTGAGAAACAGACCAGTGGTCTGAGGATGGGAGAAAACCTCGTGACTTTTTTTTTTCCAGTCAGCACAAAAGTGTTATTTCTTTTAAGGATAACAATTAAACCATATCCAGGGTCTTAACTTACAGTTAGAAGCCAAAGTGGCATCTATTTTTATTTATTTTAATGTGTATTTTTGAGAGAGAATGCGCGTGTGAGCAGGGGAGGGGCAGAGAGAGGAAGACACAGAATCGGAAGCAGGCTCCAGGCTCTGAGCTGTCAGCACAGAGCCCGAATGCAGGGCTCAAACTCCGGGACCATGAGATCATGACCTGAGCTCAAGTTGGATGCTTAACCGACTGAGCCACCCAGGTGCCCCCAAAGCGGCTATTGAAAGCATTAGCTATTGAGGTGCAGTACACACACTCAGGGAAATTGCTTTGCCATCTGAAGCTTACGTCAAACTTTGCTTGGTCGACAGCTGAGCTCTGCTGGTGCCTGGGTGTGGTTGAGGGTAAGAGTATATCTGTGCATCGTATGTCTTACAAGTTGAGATGTCAGGTGTGAAGAGACGGAGATTTGTGTCTTTAAGGACAGCAAATGATTTTATTGGAGGATCTGAAGTGGGCAAGGCACAGGAACTGGGTAGGACATGTTGCAGTGGAGCCATTCCCATGGAGGACAGTCAGTGCCAGAGCAGGCTCTGTTCCTGCAGACCCAGAGAAAAACCTTCATTGGCCCCTACGTGTAGGTTTTCCCTGCTTGCTCACTTTCAGATGCTAGGAAACTGGACACAAAAGTCACTTAACAGTGAGACTTAATACATTACAACTCCTGAGGAGAAAATCCAGAAAGGGGAAAGCCTACGTCCTGTCATAATCTGATAGAGCCTCTGAGCTTCCAGTAACCATGTTTGCTCTACAGCAACTGACCACATAATAGCCTCTCAATTTTAAATCGAGAAAGGACCAGAGAGCTTTAGGTCCAGTCTCTAGCTTTAAGGCAAAGGTGACTGAAAGCCCACAGAGCAGAGCAACGTCTTAAGGGAAGTCGTGTGTCCTCAATGCCACAGGCACCCTGCTAGGTGTTCCACTTTCCTTTGCTTGGTCACCCAATTCCTTTGTGAGGTGGGCATTGTTACTTTTGGAATTAAGGAAACCAAACACACAGCAGGCTGCTTGTTCCGTCACACTACTAGTGCTTGCCTGGCAATGTTTTAACAACTTGCTTTCATGAGTTGAATAGGATAGTAAATGGTAAATTATGCAGTCTGTGCTACATTGTTTTTTATTAAAAATTCTTTTTTAATGTTTATTTTGACAGCACACGCATACAAGTAGGGGAGGGGCAGAGAGGGAGAGAGAGAATCCCAAGCAGGCTCCACGCTGTCAGTGCAGAGCCCGATGCGGGGCTCAAACTCCCGAACCATGAGATTATGACCTGAGCCCGTATCAAGAGTCAGACGCTGATCTGACTGAGCCTCCCAGGAGCCCCTGTGCTACATTCTTTGAAAAGCACTATAGACATTCACATACCAGTTTTCCATTCACAGGAAACAGGTGAGTCACAGAGTAAGTGAAAGATACTAGAATCTACTGTAGAACAACTGATATGTAACCCAGTGGGACTCGAGCAGCTCTCTTGGGCAGTCTCTGAAGGAACTTTTGTTTTCACCTGTACGGGATGCACATACATCATTTACCAAAGTCCAAACTTACTCAAACTTAGAGTTTGGTAAATGAAGTATGTGCATCGTGTACAGGGATCCCGTACTCAGAATTCTGCATGATGCTTAGGAATACCCTCTCACATAGAGCCATAGAGGGAAAGGCGGAGCGAAGCAGTTCTGTCATTACCTAAATATTGAAGGGATAATAGACAAAGAAAGAAAGGAACAATGTTTATCTTTTTGGAAAACTGTCATTCCTTTGGAATTACATATTGCTAGGTGGGGTAGCTTTAGCATCCTGGTCAGAATGTTGTTTTCATCTATTTTTATCCATTCCCAAGTTCTGGGATATAGTTATGTATATTCTCTAGAGTGAAAAACAGCTGTTGGCACAGTTACCTGGATGGATATATCTGGGATTTCCAAGCCTATGCTCTAGCTTAGCATTTTCTAAAGGAGCACTAGCCAGTAGAAATAAAGTGTGAGCTGCCTATGTGATTTTAAATGTCGTAGTAACCATGCTAAAGTATAAACAGGTAAAATTTTAATACGTCTTATTTAATTTCCTATCAAAAATACACTTGAGGGGAGCCTTGGTGACTGAGTCGGTTGAGCATCCGACTTCAGCTCCGGTCATGATCTCACGGTTCATGAGTTCAAGCCCTGCGTTGGGCTCTGTGATGACAGCTCAGAGCCTGGAGCCTGCTTCCGATTCTGTGTCTCCCTCTCTCTCTCTCTCTCTGCCCCTCCCCCACTTGCTCACGCGCACATGCTCTCTCTCTCTCTCTCTCTAAATAAACATAAAAAAGGTTAAAAAAAAAAAGTACATTTGAGGGGCATCTGGGTGGCACAGTTGGTTAAACTTCCGACTCTTGGTTTCAGCTCAGCTCATGACCTCATGGTTTATGAGTTCAATCTCCATGTCAGGGTCCTTGCTGACAGTGCAGAGCCTGCTTGGGATCTCTGCCCCTCCCCTGCTCACTCTCTTTGTCTCTCTCAAATAAATAAACTTAAGTACATTTGAATGTACAATCAATATAAAAAGCAGACATATGTTTACATTTCTGGACTAAGCCTTCGAAATCCAGCGTGTATTTTTCACTTTGAGCCCATGTCGGTTTGTGCTGGACACATTCCGGGTGCTCAGTAACCACAAACAGCCAGTGCTACATTATTGGACAGCACGGTTCTGAAGCAGGTGAGTTCTTAGTTACGGTGGTTCCATAATCATTATCACAAAATATTTTTCTTTTCTGTGGGACTTCTCAGAACCTTGAATATGGCAATTTTCTCAGGGACT